ACGTGGCTGTGCTTACAGGGTGAAGTTTCATCAGGCGTCTGTCTCAGGCGGGGCTACATGGCTTCTCCCTAACTCTACCTACTCTATCTATCCCTTTTAACCTGGCTTTACTCTGTTAGTTAAGCCATTGGCCAAAAGCAACTTCTTTATTAACGAATAAAGTACATATACAGAAGGTACATATACAAGTACCTTATATAAAGTACATATACATCACTTCATGTAGTTTGTTTTTTGTTTGTTTGTTTTTTGTTTTTTTTTTTTGTTTTTGTTTTTAGTTCAGGGTGAAAGTTGGTTTGGCTGTGATGGGCCTGGGACTCTGCCGACATGGATTGTTGGGAGCGCTATCTGGTTTATAAAACAGTACCTAGCATAGATCCCCATTCTATACAACAGTCTGGAGCACAGTTCCCAGCAGCGCCCACTAAACCACCGCCATTCCTGTTCAAAAGAGGCTAAATGATAGCTTCTTTAGGGATTCCCCAAGGTCAATAACAGAAAGAAAGGAAGAAAGAAAGAAAGAAAGAAAGAAAGAAAGAAAGAAAGAAAGAAAATAAACACACACAAACACACAGGAGGAAGAGAAAGAGAGAGAGAGAGAGAGAGAGAGAGAGAGAGAGAGAGAGAGAGAGAGATGAAAGGTCCATTAAAGGAACCTCTGCTTTTGCCCCCTGTCGAATGTGGCACCTGAGAATGATGTCCTATCCTAGGTCTGGAAGACGCCCTGCAGCCCCAGCACACACTCACTACTTGACCAGCGGAAAGGTAGACCAGACACCACTCAGAGGACAACCTGTATTCGATAGGAAAACGAAATAATAAAAGAGCATCTTCCATGGTCTTGCGATTTTACTGCATGCAGTATGAGAGTATGAGATTAAACAATGATTGTCGGGTCTAACGCCCTCACTGACTGAGCAGTTGGTATTTGCCTTTCCACTTACCCCCGCGAAACGCGACAGCAAAGAGAAATACATGTACTCAAAAGCCCCCAAAGGTGGAATGGCAGGGGTGATCTAAGTTCATCAGAGTTGACATCCTTTATCTATCCTGCTCCCTGGAAGAAATAGTACCAGTAAAATACCTACGCAGAGGCCCTTTACTGCCATGTGGGTCTCTCCCCATGTCCCCATCTCCTTTCCACTTCCCAATCAGAAAGGAAGATCCAAGACAGGGCAGCCAGGCATGGAGTCACCCCCTGGATTCCCACACTTCCTTTATAACTTTCATTCCTCCCAAAGTAGCTGCAAGAAGGACGTGAGGTGAATATTAAAAGCCCCAGGCTGGAAGACCTGCTTAGTTGAACTCCAGTCTCCCAGCCCCCCAGCCCTGACTTCAAAGCGAAAGGAAGTGCATGCAGAGAGGGAGGAAGCCTGGGTCCTCCCCGCGGCCCCTCGGAGCTGTGAACATTTGCAGACCCAGAGCCCCAGCTCGCACCAGGTGTCCCGGGCTGCTGTCCCGCCCCGCCGCGCCCCGCCCCTCCCGCGTCTGCCTTTCATGTGGATCAAGGCCCGAAGATGACAAGCCTCCTGACTGATAGATACACCGAGGCTTCGCTGGTGATTTATTGGCTTTCTGCACCTGACTAGAACCACTAGGTCTATCCGAGGACGGAAATATATGGGCTTTCCTGACTCCAAGTGGCAGCCCCGGGGCGAGCATGTGATGTCAAGCTGGGCCGTGGAAAGCAGAGCCGTGCACCGGCCTGTGTTTTGTAAGCGGGTCCAGGTCATAAAAGTGTCAGCACGCGATATATTTCTTGCGGGGGATCTTCTCTGGGCTGTGGCCAGCACCCTTTCTCCCGTGGCTGGCAGCTGAGTTGACTGAGAATGTCCCTGTCTCCTTAGTTCAGGAGGATGCCAGCCCAAGGTCCCCAGCCATACCTCTTCACTTCCCAGAGCAAAGCGCTGTGCGGTGATGCGGTGATAAGGGCTTTCCAAGGCCAGAGGCACAGTATTCTTGTCCTTACTGCTGTCTAGGATCTGTCCTGTCACATCTGGCCTTCAGCAGAGTTCAGGCTCAGAACCTGCAATCAGGTAATCTGGAGGGGATGGGGAATCCGAAGTAAGTTACATCATCCCTCTGCACCTGCCTCCTCCTCTTTAACTAGAAATGACATTAATACCGAACACGGGGCCAGGAGAATTACCACAGGAAGCAAAATTCTACCCCTACTCAAAGGCTGATGAAAGCCATACTAGGAAACCCCTAAGCATTGGCGTGCAAAAGACCTGCTTTGGACCACAGAAAGTAGGCAAGGCTTGTTAGAGATGAAGCTGGAATCCACGATCTACATTTTGTTTATTATCTTATGCAGAGGTTAAACACTGTCCTGGCTCCTATTGAGGATGGTTTTGCCTATCCAAGTATAAAAGGTGGTCAAACCCACTTTTTTTTAAAATCGGCTTTTTGCTGTCAGCGTTGGTATTTCTCAGCCAATCTGATGCTGTGCATGGCCTTGATCTCATGGCATTACTCAAAGACAGAACTTACCACAACATTAGATCAATAAATGTAGTTGGACTTCTGTAACAACAAAGATGAAATTCACCTTCTCTTTTGTCTACAAGTAATGATTCAAGACAAGGCATATTTTTTCCCACTGGAGCAATTAAACTGTCCTGATTTTATGCCAACATGGGGGTCTACCACCTCCTACCTGAGCAAGAAGTGAGAACCCTCGTTCACCCAAATGAGATTGCAAGTCCTTAAGGCCTCTGGCTTTCTCAGTCCCTCCAGGAATGTCCTGGGAGAAAGTCTGTAAAGGGTACTGCTCCTCGAGGATTTGAAAACAGGCCTGTAGGGGCCTCGGGAACGTTCTGAAGTGATGTCTAGGGACAGCAGAGGACAACTCATTCACAGAAATACAACTAACTGCTGGAGAAGGGAAAACCTGGGCTTACAATTCCGGCTCATCATAAAAACTAAAAGAATGAGAAGGTGTCTGGTGTTCACACGGCATCATCTGACTGGTGCTGTTCTTTCCTCCAGACCACCCCAGGACCCTGTAGCTGCATTTGTGGGCAAATCCTAACCATGGGAATGTGACCCTTGTAACCGTAGAACAGTATTGAGGCCACATCTTAGTCGCAGATTCTCATCCACACAGATCAGTGTTCAGAAACAGAGACAGGGCATTGAGTTAGGCCATCTTTATCAGCCTGTACCCAGGAAGCTGGCTGGGCTGAGCTAAGTGACCTTGTGCTCAGAATCTCCTGGGTGGGCAAGGGGAAGGCCACTATCTTCCTGGGAAAACATTTTGCTAGGAAATTTCTTCTTGCCCCCTTGAGAATAAGGTGTGAGGGTCCAACAAGGCTTGCTGGGACAGGCTGCTCTGACCCAGGAGAGTGGGAATTGCCACCGATTCTTTACTTCATTACAGACTGTGCTGTGAGCTGGGGATTTTTTTATGTAGATGGGGCCTCTTTTTTGACTTTTATTGGTTGTATGAGCACAGTGTCCATCCTTCCTCTGCTGGACCATACCATGTTCAATCCACGCAGAAGATCATCCAGGAGATGTACTGAGGGACTCAAGATTCTGAGAAAACTTTGGCTACCCTGAGACTCTTAATTAGCAAATTTTCAACACAAGCGTAAAGGAGAACTGGGCCCTGGAGAGGAGTAGCGGATAGTTCAACACATGGCTCGAAGATGGGCATGCCTGAGGTCAGCCTGGGAGCACCACTGTGTGTCCAGCAGCAGGGAGTATTCCGGAGTCAGCTCTCCAGGGCAGCTGTCCAGAGGTACTAACTTTCTCTGCTCCAACAGCAATGTGCTAACGTAGGATACCTACAACCCAGGCTTTCCCGTGAGCCCAACTTAGGAATGTGGCTTTAAGCAAGAAACAGAATACCTCTGGGCATTTTTCCTCATGCATTTGCCTACAGAAAGTATGAGAGTACATCACAAGTACCTATGGTTAACTAGATAATAATAAAGCTGAATGCATATTGCTTCATTTCCTGCTGGCGCTTTAAAAATATATTATTGCAGTGTTCTAAAGATTTATTTCATTTATTCATGCTTCACAGTCCTATATTTGTGATAAAAAATTGGTACATTTTTTAAAAATTTATATTTATTTTATGGGTATAAATGTTTTGCCTACATGTGTGTATCTGTACTGTGTGTGTGGCTGGGGTCAGAAGAATGCATCAGATCCCCTGGAACTGGAGTTACAGATGGTTACAAGCCATCATGTGGGTGCTGGACACTAAATCCTGGTCCTGTACAATAGTTATGTGTTCTTAACCACTAGGCCATCTCTCCAGGTCTCAATAAATACATACATACCTTTAAACTGTATAATAAATGAGTGTGAATGATCTCATTTTTTTTTCTATGTTCATCAAGTGACTATCTGGAGTCAACACAAACCTACCCTGAGTGTGACTGTAGCCTTAAGTCAGTAACTGAGGGGCATCATCATTCTGAACTCAGATCAGTTCCAAAGGTCAAGAGCCTGCAGCCACACTTGCCCTGGTTTCTGAAGTTTCCCACAGATCTTGAGTTTCAAGGCAGTTCTCCATTGCTTCCTGACGTAGACATAGACTACTTAGACATTTTTCCACCAGAGGGCAGGAGTCACAAAGATTAAAAACAAAACCAAGAGCTTCCCAATAAGCCTGTCAGCCTGGGGTTTAGAGTTGAGTGTGAAGGATTCTGGGTAGGCTGCCTATGTGAGCTCTGGCTCTCTAGCTGGAAAGAGGCTTCTGCATTACAGCAAGGTCTTTTATCCAGATGCAAAATATAAACATTTTTAACATTTCTCAGTTTCTATCTTAACCAGTCTTTAGACAGTCTAGCAATATCTATAAACAATATCACAGGTAGATGAGGCCATTATAATACAACTGTGTAGAAACAGGTAATGAGCTAAATTCGGCCTACAGGCTACAGTTTGCTAGCCCCTGCTTCTTACCATCGATTCTTCTGGTGCTAAAAGTTGTCTCCGGGTCTGAGAGTAGTTGTATCTTTGCGTCTACTCTGGTCCTTGGCCAATCACAAGCAGGAGGCCTGGGGAATAGAAGGTCAAAAGAATGAGATCGAATTAAGGCAAACCCAAAAGATGAAGCCTAGGGTTACATGAGATCTGAGTAGCTCAATGCTTAAGAGAAGCCCCTTATTTTCTGAATAAATAACTGTTTGACTACATGATTGGTTTCCACGAAAGTGCGTTTATTGTTTAGTTGACACCTTAGCACAGTGGTTCTCAGGTCAGTCACCAGCTTCATACCTTACCTTCAGTCGGCCCTCTCTGCCACAAAATAAACAAAGAGTTAATGTGGCTGGGCTCAGGTCAAGTCAAACAGTACCTCAGCTGATCTGAACATCTTTGGAAACTGGTGTAACCCAAATAGGTCTCAAGTCTCCTGATTTTCCCCAGAAATCTTCTCCTGTAGTGAGCCTTGTGATTCCTTTGGGCTACAGGTATTGGGAAATTAGTGACAGTGAAGACCAATCTGTATTTGAGCATCTTGCAGCATCTTGTTCTTGCTCCCCTCTCAGTCAGGTGTATCCTTGGATACCTGCACCAAGGTTGAAACAGAGCTGAAAAGGTCTGCTGGGAAGGAAGGGGCATCTCACTGTCTTCTATGGTCTCTTCACCTTTGTATGCAAGGGAAGTCTAGCTTGAGGGCTGCTGCTCAGATAGATAGATTTCCACGTCTGCCACCTATTTTGAACATTGCTTATCTGCCATGACTTACCATCTGTGATTTGACATGTTCTACACATATGGGCATGTTATACACATTAAGACATACTTCCTGTGCTCACTTTTCCCAGATCAAGGGCACTTCCTGAAAGCAGAATTGAAGAGTGAGTTCGGGCATTAGGGCTGGGTCAAGTCTAGAGGAGGTCTGGGCCATTTTCTCCACTGTAAGGGTTTCCGGTGGCGATCCGGGGCATGCCAGCGAGAGAACTTGCACTCTGTATGGCGGAGAGTTGCTGTCTCCGAGATCAACAATGTGGCCCGAGCTGCCTTTTTCCTTCCCCTTCCACATGGAGAGAGGCTGCAGCCTGCAGCTCACGGCTCACCTGGAAAGCCTCTGGCTGCTGAAGGGCTGGATGGAGACGCTGAGACAGCCTGATGGATCATCCCATAAACAGAGCCTGCAGGAAGGAAAGGAAAATTATGCCAGCAGAATGCACTTATGAGAAATAGATACGTGCGGTGCAGGGAGAAATGCTTTGATATTAAAATTTTTTGTAACTTAAAAAGGCATGAAAAATGATACCGACCACTAACTAATCAACATTCCTTGGCGAATGCAGCTTCAGTTCCTAACCAAAAACACATCCCTGCTATTGTCTTGTCTGAATCCAGATGCAAACATGATTAATTAAGTTTCAGGCAAAGGGTGGGAGGGGGCTGGTCAGGATGAATGGTTCCTCCAAGGATCCTTTCTGTACACAGGCTCGGAAGCCTCTCCCTTCCACATGGCTGGGCTTGCCTTCTGTGTGCCTACAGCCACTGGGCTCACTGAGAGGATTGTGCCCAGATCCTCAGGGCAGCACAGCGCCAGAAGGGCATCTTCCTCCAGTGTGTCCTACAGGGCGGAGAAAGCACCTGTGATGTGCTGTTAGGGGACCTGGCTTCTGCTCTCTACACCGCTACCGGGCAGACTGGAACCCTTGGCAAGCTGCCTCGGTTTCTGTACTCGGTGAAGAGGAAGCGTGGATTCAATGCTCTGTAAATAGGTCTTTGCTTTTTACTCTAGAGCCCGGATTCCCTCCCATATAACAGGTGTCTGGCATTTGGTTGCTAGGCACATGTGACTGTCAGACTCGCTCCTTGTAGGCATGGGAAGTGCGTGAGATGAGCACACCCTACAGAGGTGGCTGAACCGAGGACCCCACCCACCTCGAGGAACCCCGAAGGAGCCAGCAGACCCGCCTGCCATTCATGCCCTGATCGTAACTCTAAAAACCATTAGATATCTGCTGGCTCTGCCAGGCCCAACTCATCTGGAGTGCTGTCAAGCTGGTTGGTTAGAGGGGACAGGGACAGTGTGCAGACTCTTTGCCAGGACTCTGCTTCCCTAATCAGAGCCATCAACCTCTGAAGTATTCTGCAGTTGAGTGGGTAGAAGTATGGATTTAAACTGCCTGCATTGAGATCACCCAGCAACCTAAAGCACTATGCACATTACAAAAGTCTTTGGGGCCACCTTGACTTTCCCTGGAAGCAGTAAAATTCTAATCCATGCCTCCCGAGATCACTGTGAAAGTCAGATGAAGTATGTAAAGTTCGATAGTCATGAATTACATGGTTAGCAAATGTATAGTCAGTGCTGTTATCGTCAGCCCCTCTACCGCTTTGAGTGCCCAAATCTTATTATCATTTGCCCAAATGTTTCTGTACTGGGTATGAAGTTGTATCTTATTGCAGAGGAAAGGAAGTGGCCTGCCCGAATCTTCAGTTGCACTGAGCAAGCACATCCACTCATTTGACAGATGTCACTGGATGCCCATCGTACAACCTTCACCTAGACTTCAGTGAAGCATTGCATGGTGCTTCTAGCTTGGCTGAGACCTGGGCTCATCAGAAGAGCATACAATGGCTGTCCTCCCTGTACAGTGAGCAGGGGCTGACTTCTACGTGGGTGAAAGGGTTCTATAAGGATCAGATGGGCCCCAGGGCAGTACAGTTCCCAGTCTAACTCTGAGAGCATTAGACTTTGAAACCTAGTGAAGAGATTTGAGTCAGAGCCTAGATTAGAGTTTTATGAGCAATTTAATTTTTTTTTGCAACTTGCTGGCTCATAAACTTGTATTTAGTCCCTCTTGATATCAAATATAGATAGCAGTTTTCTTAGAATACCAGCCACTCCCCATCAAGTATTGAACAATGTATTGCCCAACTCAAGTTCTATAATCCTGTTTGATTCCAAAGTAAAGGGGATTACTTTTATGTGAACATCTCTAAAATATGCAGTATCCTCTTAGCCAGCTTGGAAATCACTTAAAAATGTTTTTTTATGCATCTTCATGTTCTCAAGAGGAGGTTTGTTATTCCCATTTCCCAGATGGAGTAACTAAGAACAGAGTTAGGAGACAGTTTACATAGGGCTGGAACCACAGTAGTATTTGGGGATAGGGCCAAGAATCTATTCCTCTATCCTGCCTCCAAATCCATCACAACCTGGGAATGACCTTACAGGACAGTATTAGAAACACGAATGAGAAAGGAGAATATAGATGCTGAGCCTCTGGGCCAAGTCCAGCATTCAGGAAAGAGGGCACTAGTCTTGTGAAGTTAAGACAAATGGACCATTAGATTGTAAATCAAGGTAACACATATCTTCCGGAAAGCTTCCAGGCAAATCCCAGGCCCGTGGACAGTGAGCTTCAATTCATGCCAATGAAGTCTTAACCCCCTACGAAGTGCAGGGTACTGCTTTGATAAATGTTTTATAATGTTACCAAGAAGAGATGGAATTTCCCTTGAAATCACAGCGTAAGGATATAGAGATGAAACCTAGGCTCCCAGGCTGTGCATGAACTAGTCCTTCAGATGTGACCTGCCTGCTCTGCTATTCGGCCAAGAGACTCACCTTGCCTCATTTTCTGAGCAGCTTCCACTCCTCCCAAAGTTCAAATGACTGTTTCTTTTACTCTATGATGTGGACTCGTTGTCTCTGCTTTGGTTTCCCTTGTGTTTGTCCTCAAGTCCTTGGGTTTGTACACGTTATTGCGGCATCTGACCCCCACATTCCAGAAATCTCTGTTTTCTTTTTCCTCCCTCATGACCCAAGAAGCTCCAGCACAGAGCTCCTTATCTGGGACTGAGGACGTAACAGACAGGAACTAAGGGCTCAGGAACACAGAGACCTGATATGCAGGCTTACATAAGGACTGGTGAAGGCCAATTCTTGCTGATCTCCCTGACTGCTGATCTCCCCGATTCCAAATATTATCATTTGCCCAACCTTCAGCATGTTTGCTGTCCCCACGCAGTCAAGTCTGTCCACAAAGCCTCTGAGCCCCTCAGCCCTGGAGAGCCCTGACCCCCCTTAGAAAATACACAGCTACCTTCTCTGTCATTTGGAGGATTTTTAGGAAGTTTGAAGGGGTAATGGGGGATGACTTGCAAATCAAGCAATGTTCTAAAGATCCTTCCAACCTCTCTTAAATATTCAAAACAACTTCATGGGGCAGGTGAGGGAGAAACTGGTGTCTAGTGGGTTATACAAAAGCACGAGTTACATAGCTACTGACTGAGCGATGTGGGACAGACTAGAAAGCAAATACAGGCCAGTCAGACTCCAAAGCCCAAGTTCTGTGAACAAGGACAGAATAAGAGCTCAGAAGTTCAAAGGAAGGGTTGGCAAAGCTTTTCTCGAATAAGCCCATTAAACAAACAAACAAGCAAACAATTTCAGGGATTTTGAGCCACACTTTGTCTTTGTAACACATTCATTTTGTTATACTTCATTTTCATTTTAGTTACTTTTTAATACTTCGGAAACCATGCTTGGCCATTAGGTCATCACTCATTAATCCCTAATCTAAAGATTTTGAACATAGAAATGAATTCAGGATGAGTCTGAGATGTCAAAGCACTAGTTACCAATCTTGCTTCTGAGGTTCCCTGGTCAATACTGCTGAATACTGGCAAGCTATCAACTTCTGAGAGTTTTATTTTGAGCTTTTATAATAAGAGCAAATTGCCATAAGCACCTCACCAAAATATAGGCTTATTCATTAATGAAGACTCCAAGTACACCTCTAGGCATAAATAATTCATGCCATTATAAAACTCATCTATTTTAACATTTAGCAAATAACACAATAATTCTTAATTATCACACATACAATAGCCATTATTCATCTTTAGATAGATCATTATACATTTTTAAAAACACAAATAAAATTACAAAAGAAATTTTTGTATTATTATCCCTACAAGCAGGATAATAATTTACACTGCTGTAATGGTATAGGTTTTTATTCAACAGAAAGAGTAAGCCTGTGTTCTTGGTCAGCTGGGAGGACAGACTGTAAGAAGCTGTATTTGAACTGCTTCTTTCTCTTCCTTTCCTTGAAACTCAAAGCGATATAGCAGCTGCATGTTGAGTGCTGATGGGGAGTATCCCTTACTCCTTCAGAACAATATAAGATATCAGATCAAAGCCATGTGTTTTCAGACATTGCAATTAGAAACCTCCACATCTACTGATGACTGAATTGGGCCCACACAAGAATGGCAGTCAACTGGCAGACGAGAATAGACCCATCAATAGGCAGACAAGAATGCATAGGGTCTCACAAGAATGGACCAATCAAGTTGGGTGATGGTGGCACACTCCTTTGATCCCAGCACTCGGGAGGCAGAGGCAGGTGGATCTCTGTGAGTTCAGGGCCAGCCAGGTCTACAAGAGCTAGTTCCAGGACAGTTTTGAAACCTACAGAGAAACCCTGTCTCAAAAACCAATACCAATACCAAAACCAAAACAACAACAACAACAACAAAATAAGAGCCATCAACAACAGACAGACAAGAATGGAGAGGGTCTCAGAGGATGCTACCCCCCACTTCTTATGTAATTCCTTCAGATAGATTCATGAAAACAAGGAGTCATTCCCTTAGTTATGTACAACTGGTGATCCTTCCAGGCTCCAAGGTATTCTCCCAATGCAGTGGTCACACAGATGACCCTAACTAACCCAAATGGCTAGCACAACAAAACCAAAGTCATGAATATGGGAAAGAGGCTAGGGTGCGGGAGGTTGACATTGTCAAACCATGTCTTTAAGAAAATCTGATTAACCAATTTTTAAAAGCTTAAGCATATTTAAGGGTACATTGACTAGCCTGTCATTAAGTGAATTAATAATGTAAAATGATAGAAATGATGTCAGACCTCTATATGGGCTATATCAAAGCCTCAAAGTTCACTATTATTACTTGAATTCTACTTGAGGTAGCTTCAAACACCAGAAAGCCAAGTAATTCTTCTAAATAACCTGTTGCCAGTTCTTGTTTTAGAATGTTATTGTCTGAATAGCTCTATCAAGTTTTCTAGGGGAGCATTTAGCCTCTCTTAATTTGTTTGAATGATCTATAGAAAATTAAGAATGTGAGCTCAGTTGTACGGTGGAGCAGGAAGCCATATTTGAGATTTTAATTACCTTTACAATGGTACTATACTTTATCACTTTCAACAGTATCTTCGGATGACTTTTGTAAAAACTTTGAGGAAAAATAGTCGATATGTTGTCTATAATTTGAAAGAAGAAAACCTTGTCTCTGAGGATTATATATTCAAGGTTACCTAGGAATGTTAAAGCCCTGTCTGGAGTCAGCCCAGACCTTTACATATCAAGCCCCATGGTGTCCTTCTCAAATTGTTGATTCATTCTGTCAATGACAGCAAGATAGGAGACAGCCCAGAGCAGCCACCAGCAGCCTTGGGTATTCTCTTAAACTTTCCAAGGACTTCCAGTTTGGTAAATCTGGGCTTCAGTGGAGAAAATTCCAGGACAAGGCAGTGTGAAGCAGAGTTTAAGTCTATTATTGAAAGACATTTTATCAAAGATCTTAAGACAAGGGGTTAGTAAGATGTGAGATGCTCAGGAAAGGAATAAGACTTACCCAAGTTTCCAAGGGGACGTGCACGCACGTGTGTGTGTGTGTGTGTGTGTGTGTGTGTGTGTGTGTGTGCCCATTCTAGTGGTGGGCAAATATAGGGTTTGGAAGCTTTTGGAACTTCACTGCTCAACAGGTTTCTAAGAGATCCTCAGTTCCTCTAGCTCAGTTTCCCATTTCAATAATAAAGATCGCAGAGTGGCTCCAAAGACGCCGTTGATGGAATTGCAATATGATAGAATAAAATCTGAAGCCATTCAGGTGGCACAAGAGATTTAAGATCTTGTACTTTTACTTTAAAAGGAGTTTCTGGTGAGACTCCTAGAAGATCGCAGGCTTACACCCGGGTAGAGAGGAAGTTAATTGCTAATTACCCTGGAATTCCTGATTCTCCAGCAGATTCTGGGGCGAGGAGCTCTTTTCGCTTCCATGTTCTCATCATATCTCCCGCCTTTCTAGCCGTCCTCACTTTTTAAAACAAGCAAAGCTCCCTGCTTGAGGGTTCCTGGGTAATACACTGAAGGACACACTTCCTACACATATTTTCTGGCACGTCGTTTGCAGGTGCCCTGAATAGCTGTGTATAATCTAAACATGGCAGAAAGAAAGAACCCCACCTCTGGCTTTAGAAAGGACCTGGGATGGGTTGGGGTGTCCGTTGTTCCACTTGTGATCTCCCCCAATGTCCAGCCAAGAGGAAAAACCCTATTTTAGAATTTGGTAGAGATTGAAGCGGTGAAGAAGAAAGCTAGGTGTCAAATAGAAGCTGCGTATCCTTCCAATTATAAAGCAGGTATGTCCATGGGAATACCAACTTCTTTTAATTGGGTAGTCTGAGAATGAAGAGAACATGGTTTTTGTTTTCTGTGTGAAGTCTATTGAGTTATAAACACAACCTATTGTTATATATCAAAAGTGAGGTAGGAACAACAGCTCGGCAGGGCAGCCGGCGACTGTCCTTAAGATATCACTTTGAATAGGGTACGAATGGCCATCTGACAACATCCTCAGGTTACTGAGCAGAATGGTTAATCTTCTCTGTCATCTTGTCTTGATTTGAAATCATCTGAGGGATGAAGATCTAGGTGTGTCAATGAGGACATTTCCTTGAGGCTGACTGAGATGATAGAGCCTGCCCTAAGGTGGCCCCACCCTATGGCCTGACATGCCAGATCAAATAGAGAGAGAAACAGGGGAAGACGGGAAGAAAATCAGGCTTTCCCCTTTCTCTGCTTCCTGATCAGCACCAGGGACCAAGCCCCTCCTTCTGTCATGCTTTTCCCAGCATGATGGGCCTCATTTCTTTGAACTATGAACTACACTGTTTGTCTCTTATTTATAGTCTGACATTTGGTCACAACAATGAGGAAAGTAACTGATACAATGAATAAGACACAAAAGCTATCTGGGAAAGAGTAAGCCCACTAGAGACCTTGGAGTCATCATAAGGGGACAGAAGGATGAAGCTCAGACGAGTCACCGCTGGAGTTCTGGGAGAACGTCGCTGCCTCCTAGAGGAAAGCTGGTGTATAGGAGCACATCTTGGATGCACAGAGGGCAGGGCGCCTTGGAAGCAGCGTTAGCCCAGCACCACAGCAAACAAGCATGCCGAGTCTGTCTCTACACTCACCCCCTGGCAGTACTTAGGTGCGTAAGCAGGAGCAGCTGAACGTTTGCGACCAAACAGTCCACTAGGATGAGGAGAAAGAAGGAAAAGAAAATCTTCACCGTGACTTGCTCGTAAACTTTCCCACAGTAGTTTAGAAGTCAGTGGATTTAATGGCTTTACTTTAAGAAATCACATTAACTTACCTCTGTTAGTGTGAATGAAGATTCAAGACAGAATATTGGGCCTGACATAGGAAGAATGAAAACCGAATTTCCTCCATGTTTGTTTGTATCTGTTTAAAGACAGGAGTAGTTACATTGGCTATTGTTTATCAAATACCAATTTTATACATATACTTCGAACATACCAACTCATCTAATCTTAATTATGTGAGGAACACATTACTTTTCTCGCTCTAAAAAACAAAGGAAACAAACAAACAAAACCAGGTAGAATAGACTACCTA